GCTGCTGTATGTCTGAATAACCAGAACCATTCAAGTTCAGTGAATTGTTACCAGAATCCTATGTTGCTATCTCCTTTTCAATATTCCACATTTGACATTTAAAAGTCAATGTACTTATCAATCCGTCCATTTTTTCTTTGATAATCTCCATATTAGAAAAGTTGCATGAAAATGGAGAATGATTATTCAAACCTTGAATAGATATATAAGTTAAATAAAAGCTTTTAAAAACGGTTGTAATATAAATAATAAATACTAAAGCAGTGCAATTGCTCTCCTTTTCCTTGACATAGGACGTTTACTGGGACTCATTTTTTATCTTGTCTCTTATAACTTATATCACTAACCTAATGTAATACTTAAAAATACGCGTAAACTAAAGAACTTTTAACTTATACTACTAAACTAATAATATATTACTTAACATACACGTAAACTAAATAATTTCAATTTATTCAAAATAAATAAGAATACTGTAAACTGTAAAAACTAAGCAAGTTGATAAAGAAAATACAAGAATGAAAGAACTAAAATGGATTCTAATTCAAGCGAACTAACTGACCGTACCCATAGATAAATAAAAATAAGACCGTACCGTACGCTCATGTGATTTGACGTCACTAATGCGATAACGATCAAGCTCAGCGACAATGATGAGGAACACGTTTCACTATTAGATTTCAGTATTTTTTAGCAATTTTCTTCAAAGTTTGAATACGCTTTTCTCGATTATTACTGGACACAGAAAGGTGAAAAAAGAATCAACGATTACAGAAAAAAAAACTCTTTCAACTGATGGGCGTGAAAAGTTTGGTTATAATAGAACGTTAAACAGTATAATCCAATTTTTCAACAGAAAATTCAAAAAAATAAAAAAAGTAAAACCATCAGTTTAAAGGCAACATAATTTCGTATAACATGTCCAAATTTCGAGACATTTCGTCGGTAAATAACAGAGAAAAAATTTTGGTGCACCGATAAAACAGCCTTAATATAATAAGCAAATATTCAGCAGTATTATTCTATTAGGTACCTTAATAGGAGTCGACAAATAAAATTCATTAATAAAACAAAACAGTATATCCAACAACACAAATAAATTTGGATAAATCTGATGATAAGTAAAAGAAATGCACTATCGATTATTACATGGTGATATACATATAAAAATAAACAGTTTTAGGGATAAGAAATACCTTTACACATACAATATAATAAAATCATGTTCAGATTAAAAATGATCAGCGAAGAGGGCCTGATAGCGATTAAAAATATTTAATTCAAACTGATTGAAGAAAGGTCTCTTTGCTGTTTATGGGCTTATCTCAAGATAACGGGTACAGAATGTTAAAAAATGAATAGCAAATATAAAAGTTAATTAACGTTAAATTCTAAACAATACCAAAAAATTACATGAATTCTGTATTATAAAAATTAAACCAACCCGCACTTGGTTAATTTAATTATCTCTTCGCACTGTTGTTTAATGATTAACTGAGAATTAAATGTTCGTAGTTATTTTTTATTACCTAACATATGGGGTTAAGGCAGGGAGATGCGCTAGCGTGTCAGCTTTTTAATGTCGCCTAAGAAAAAGTTGTACGAGCCAACGATAAGTTGGCTAATTTAGATAGCAGGGGAACAATATTTAATAGACCAGTCCAAGTTCTAGCATTTTCAGATGACGTGGACATTATAACAAGAACCAGGGCGAGAACTGCGGAAATTTTAGCCGAGCTAGTAGCAGCAGCAGAACGAATGGGGTTACATATAAATCAAAATAAAACCAAATTCATGCCGACTAACACAAACACAAGAGCTGGAAATGTTGACGCAAATTTAATCATCAATGACCGAAACTTCGAAGCAGTCAAAGAGTTAATATATTTAGGGATATCGGTTATCCCCAATAATAACACATCTGAGGAAATAAAAAGGCGAATAATAATTGCAAACAGGTGTTATCATGGTCTATCAAAGTACTTAGCGACCAAACGTCAGTCTCAAAAAACTCATATAAGGCTGTATAGAACAATGAGTCCCCGTTCTCACATATGGATCAGAGGCATGGACGCTAACTAAAACAGATGAATCCGCTCTATCGATTTTTAAAAGAAAGGTGTTACGCAAGATATTCGGAGTGGTCTGTGAAAACGGAATATGGAGGCGTAGTTATAACTTTGAACTGCACAATATCTACAAGCGTACGTTTGGTGGTAAAGATATTACCACTACAATTAAGCGAAACCGCCTGCAGTGGGCAGGACATGTAGCTAGGGCTTCTGAATCGAAGATGATAAAAAAGATTCTAACAGCGCAACCTGTGGGAATGAGAAGACGGGGTAGACCAAAGCTGAGATGGATGGATGCGAAGAAGATCGGAGTCGGCAACTGGAAATTGCAAGCAAGGGTCAGAACAGAATGGCGTAGAAAGCTTGAGAAGGTCGAGGCCCTATAAGACCTTTAGCACCAAGATGATGATAATTATTTTTTATTAGAAGTTCTTAAAAGCTTCTTGAAAGCTTCTTAGAAGTTCTTGAATGCTAACTCAGTGGTTAACCTTAACTACAGGAGAAGAAAGAGTTGACGTAGATTCGCCCAGATAGTTGAAGATAATATGATTATGATAACTTACAGTAAATCTTGATGATTGCAATACCACTTCAGTGATTTTATTATACTATTATACTAGTATCAAACACTAAAGTTAATTAAAATTCAAGGTACTTTATAACCATATTTAATCTAATATGGTATTATACAGTGCGTTAAGTTTTTGATTAGGTATTGCACACTATACGGAGCGCTAAAATCGGCAACGTTGCAAATGTTCGTTCTCCGACCCGAAAATCTACACCAACAGAAAATCATTTATTTTAGTTTAGTAACTCACAACAACGTTAGGGATGTACTTCTCTGTCGTCCGATCTCATGTTTCATTACGTAAAGCCGATTTTAATAGTAGGGAATTCGATAAAAATGCACTGAACTAATCGGTGCATTGTTATCGATTTTTATTAATGTGAAATTTTTTTTGTGGTTGAATTAAAAATAAAAGCGTATTTCTTTAAAAAGATAAAATAAAAAATATACTCTTATTGAAAATTAAAATATTATTCCTAATAAAATAAAAAATAATTCTTTATGACTTACAGAAATGGTTCAAATAGTTGACCTTCTACGGCAGAACAGTACCCCAATCTGTCATAAAAACTTCTGCGAACAGATGAAAGAGTTTCTGCTGTAACAGAATTGGAGACTTCTCTTATTCGATTTTTTAATTCATCCAAATTTTGGGCTCTAGCCTCAGGATGAGCGTAGATAATGCTTTTTAAATGTCCCCAAAAAAAGAAGTCCATGGGTGTAAGACCTGGAGATCGCGCAGGCCACTTAATATCGCCTGTTCCACTGATAACTCGATTCGGGAAAGTATTGTTTAAATACTCCCTAATAATTCGAGCGTTGTGAACTGAACAGCCGTCTTGATGAAACCAAACATTCTCCAGATTTACATCAGGAAGATTGAGAATAGCGGAAAGAACATGATTCTGTAACAAATCGAGGTATACTCTACTATTCAAGTTGCCCTCAATAAAAAATGGACCTATTATGTGGTCTCCTAAAATGCCAATCCAGACGTTAACTTTTTAAGGACGTTGAGTTCGGTAAACAACACTTCTGTGCTGGTTTTCCCGCGCCCAATACCTCGTAATGGAAGGATTGTGTCTCCCTACTAACGAAACAGAAGATTCATCAGTGAATAAAATGTTTTTAATAAAATTTGGTTCACTATTAGCCTTCGTTATTAGAGTTTCACAAAACTCCATTCTTCGAAAGTAAGCGTCTGGATAAAGTTGCTGCGTTTTCGAATATTTAAAATTCTTGTAACCGTGCTTTTTCCATACTTTCGTTACAGTAACATTGCTAACATCTAACTCTCTAGCAACGCTTCTACTTGAACGTGTTGAATCTACCTCGATTGTTGCACAAATTTGTGTATCCCGGTATTCTCTTTCCGCAACTTTTTCTGGTAACACTTCTCGAGCGTGACATTTTCTGCAATTTTTGAGGCAATAACAACTCTCAAAATTTTTAACAATATTATAAATTGACTGTACACAAGGAATTGGTCTTCCATCAAAAAACACAGAAAATAAATCTACACACTGTTGTGCAGAATTGCCACTATAAAACCATTTTATTATTTGAGCTTTTTCCGCGGCCATATAAACAGACATGTTTACAAAAATAAATTAAAACTCTACGCTGTTATACCTTTAAACAACCACGGTATAATGACAATATGACAAATTAGCCGACCGGCGACGTGCAACGACGAGTCAACGAAGCAGATATGTAGTGCCAGTCGAAGACGCGCAGTGTTGCCATTTATAGAGTGTATACCTAATCCAAAACTTACGCACTGTATTAAGAAACTCAAATATTTAAGTGTATACACATTTAAAGAAACAGTTTCACAGAGAACGGTAAGATAACACAGAGACGGTAATATTAGCAAACGGCTTTACTTAAAGACGACCCTGCCAGAAGGTCTTAATCAAAGACAGCCCGGCCAGAAGTGATATTCCTTCTCTAAAAATTTCCCAAACTACCCAAAAAATAAGATGGGATATCCCCCACTTAAAATAACAGGCCGGACTGTATCCATTTCTAGGTAGACAAAAAGGTTCTAACGACATCGAAAATAACGGGATCCTTCTAGCTAGGAACGTGAGTAAAATAAATGTTTTTGGATTGGATTAGGTTCTCTCCGAAAAACACGACAATGTGCTTTCGACGACGTTCGCTAAGTTATCAAACAGAACCCGCTTGAAACCGGAAAAGGATTAGCCAAGGATTAACCAACCAGGCGTCTTTAATAAGTCGGTAGATTTCAATGAAATTTAACAAGCTAATTGTGAATATGATCATGGGCGTATCAGCAACAAGAGTAAAGGGATTAAGAAAAATGTTACAATATAGATAAAAACACATAATATCATAATTTATTTATATTATTTTAATAATAATTGTATTAATATATTTACCTATTAGTTATACAAGATATTTGTTTATAAATATTTACGAACAAATTATAAAATAAAAAGTGCTATTTTTAAATAAATACAATTAATATAATAATTAATACATATGGAAATATCGGCAAATTTAAGCCTTGCTTGTCATTAAATAATTATAATAAAATAAATGTATTTAAGAATTATTTTTAAGACCTAGTACACACATATCAGATTATACAGATTGAACCAAATTAAAACGGAACATACAATTTAATACATGTCTGTTTGAACTGCATTTGAAATAGTGGACCAATATAAAACTTGGACAAAAATAAATCCATACCTGGGTATAGACATTGTATAAAATATCGTTCAACTATCTGTCTCGTAACAATGTTGTTTGCGTAAGACGGGTTTGTCTAAGGCAGCGATAATAGTTCAGGAAGTGAAGCTCGAAAAAAGTTAAAACTTCGCAATTTTTTCGTCCTGCATGTATCCAGTTGAAATTTTAACAGAATGTAGGTGATAGCCCAAGGATCAAAATATATATCGAACCGAAGTGCGCTGAAGGGTTTTAGGGGTGAAATCTACCCCTAATTGTCAAAAATTATAAAATAACATATTAAACATAAATATGGGTAAGATTTGGTTTGAATTATTTAAATTATGATTATTTCATACTTTTAAATAGAGTTCCATCATATTTCAACCCTTAAAAAGCAACCCTTGTTAGAGATTAATGTAAAAAAATTACTAATTCTAAAAAAATGTTTTATCCTTGGATCGATTTGGATAAAAATTTGGATTTAAGCTTAATTCACCGGCTGCTTCATAGTTTATGTCATGTCGACGAACCCTGATTGTTCTTAGGGGTGAAAACTACCCCTAATAGTCAAAAATTATAAAATAACATATTAAACCTGAATATGGGTAAAATTTGGTTTGAATTAATTAAATAATGATAGTTTCGTGCTTTTGAATAAAGTTCCATCATATTTCAACCCTTAAAAAGCGACCCTTATTAGAGATTAATATAAAAAAATTAGTAATGCAAAGAAAATGATTTTACCTTGGAACGATTTGCATAAAAATTTGGAATTAAGTTCAACTCACCCTCTGCTTTATAGTTTATGTCATGCCGATGAACCCTGATTGTTCTTAGGGCTGAAAACTACCCCTAATTTTCAAAAATTGTAAAATAATATTACAAATCTTAAGATGAGTGAAATTTGGTTTGGATTAGTTAAATAGTGATTTTTTTATACTTTAAAATACAAATTCATACATTTTCAACCCTTAAAAATCAATTGTTATGAGTGCTATAGGTGAAAACAATTTTTTGCCAAAATTTTGCAACTTTTCAAGTTTTGAAAATCACCCTTTACAACATTGCAGTTTTTATAAACTAATTTATAAGATATAAATTGAAAAAAGTAGAATTAAATACAAAAAAATTTATCAACATAAAAGGCACCATAATTATATTCTTATACATTTACATAAATAGTTGAAAATATTTACATTTATAGGTAAAACAATTATAATATTAATTTTATTCGTCATCAATTACATCTTCATCGTGATCTATGTCATCCTCATCTTCTTCAATTGTTGGTGGACTGTTATTGCACCCTTCACCTGAGCACCCAGAACAAGTATAGTTACAGTATAAACCAACTTTTCTGCACCCACATGAAACACCGCACCTTTTTTTGCATTGGCAAAAAATAATTTTTAAAAGTTCATCGGGTGCAGGTTGTTTGTTCATGCGTACGGGTAATAATATACCCATCTTTGGAATACCATCCCCAATCTGTTGCTCTGATATTTTCATTGCCAAGCCATAGACATAAATGAGCAGATGTTTTATTCTGTTGTATGGGATTTCAAAATAAGAACGCTTAAAATTTCAAATTTATAACGCCCCACTAGCTAATTTACCGGTTTTGTAGATTATTATGCTCCGACATGTACTGTACTATACTAATGGAATTTTCCGGAAAAAAAATTAACTGGTTTTTTTAACGTATTTCCTTTAATTTTTAACGATAGAGTGTTTCTTCAAAAACGATTTGTAGAGGTTTTTAAGAGCTACAAGGATCTGTGAATTAAATCTTTTTGGAACCCTTGGTTTTTAAATGGGGTTAGTTTAAAGGGCTTGAAAAAGATGGTGCTTGATCGTAAATCGATGCTTTAAACGGCTATATCTCGCCAAATATTCATTGTACAACAAATCTAAATAAAGGATAATTTTAGTCATTAAAAAAGCTACAATTTGGTAATTTTTATTTTTTTCATATATTTAGTATTTTCGGGAATATTTAAAAAAAGGAGGGTAAAAAATATGAAATTGTAAATCGTTTCTCGCTTTAAGCTGTACTTTTTCTAAAACTAAGCATTTTAAATGGGTCAAACTTTTTGGACGTATTAACAATACATGTACAAAAGGAATTGCAGAAGGGTGAAGATCGATTTTAATTATGAGGGTGGTTAGGGGGTTGTTTTCATCGATTTTTTTCGTAAAAAATGAGGTATTGACCTTATTTTTATCATAACTCACTCAATTTTTGAGCTAGAGTCTTTTTTTTGTGATAGGTCTATTTATGCTTTAAAAAAGGTTTTGTGAGTTGTCTTCCAAAAATGCATCATTTTCCCGATATCTGACTTTGAATCTTTCAAATTTGGCATTTGAAGAAAACCGCTGAACATTGATAGGCCGAATTTCGGTTCCTATTATATCGCAAAAACATTTTAAAAAATGAACTGTATTTGTCTTTTTAAAAGCTACAAATTTGTTCTCTACAATTTTTTTGATAAAATGCACCATTTTCGAGTTATTCGCGAAAAATCGATTAAAAACGTGGATTTTTTCGTCTAAAAGTTGTTACTTTCAATCGCGAATAACTTGAAAAATATCATTTTATAAAAAAAATGTATAGCACATTTTTTGTCTAAAATCACTTTTTTAATCGAAACCTGTAGTTAAAACGTAAAAAAAATTTTCACCCCGGAGATGGGGTGGCAACCACCCCCTAGGCTTTGGCGCACTTTGGTTCGATATAGATTTTGATCCTTAGGCTATTACCTACCTTCTGTTAAATTTCAAGTAAACCCACGCAGCACGAAAAAATTGCGAGGTGAAATACTTCATTTCCTGGACTATAACTGGTTTGACAGCATAAATCGTAGATTTATGTGTAGCTTTCAATTTTTATGAGTTCAGAATCCAGCAACCCGCTAAAGTATTGGATTTTTATAATATAATTATTTGACAATATTTTGTTGGCCAACCACCTACAGCAGAATTGAGCCGAAATACATTATATTCCTATGTTCCGAATTTATTTCGTTCAATCCGTATATATAGATATATATATAATATATAATAATATATATATATATATATATATATATTAATTATTAAACGTTTATATAGGTTCTTATGGCATATGATGGCATATTATGATATGCAAAGATAAGCTGATCCATATAGTGAAGTCCATGTACATACATAATAATGTTACAGTCAAGGTAGGTAACAAGTTTGGAAGACCATTTAAAACCACGAAGGATCTCCTACAGGGCTGCTCGACCTCACCTACACTCTTTAAAATATTTCCTCAATACGCCCTAAAGCCATGAAAAAGGAAATGTGAGGGAATGGGAGTACCCATAAGAAACGACCATCTGTATACCCTCAGTTTCGCCGACGATCAGATCATAATAGCACAAGACGAGGAAGATCTAAGTTATATGGTTCGAGAACTATATAATATAAGTGGCCTGGAAATAAACATTAACAAAACAGAATATCTGAAGACAACACAAGAACTAACAAGAAATCTGGAAGTGGATGACAGGCGTGAAATAAAGGGGACCGATAAATTTAAATACCTGGGGTTCATTATATCAAATAAAGGTACTACAGAAGAAGAAATTAAAAATCGAGTGGGTTAAACCAGAAACTCTATAAGACAACTTGAACTTGACAACCTGAATTCAATCCTATGGGACAGACACATAACAAAAAGTAACAAAAAAATAATTTATAACACGATAATTTGCAGCATTCTAACATATGGAGCAGAAAATTGGGTCTTAAACAAAAGCAGCAGAAACAAAATAAACTGAATTTATTCCTATGGGACAGACACAAAAAGAAAAAAGAATTTATAACACGATGATTTGCAGTATTCTAACATATGGAGCAGAAAATTGGGTCTTAAACAAAAGCAGCAGAAACAAAATAAACGCCACAAAAATGGGCTACTAGAGATGAAGCTGCAGCGTTTCCAGAATGGACAAAATAACTAACGACGAAATCAAAAGACGATTGGAGATAAAGAAAGACACTTTAAATTACATTGAAGAAAAAAGATTAACGTGGTACGTGGTTAAATACATTATAGTCTGGATTGTCGGTGTTGTCATTAGAAGAAGCTGAAAGCGAAGATGTTTTTATTTCACCTCCTGTAGAATGAAATAAAGTCGTGTCTGAATCAAGAATATCCATTTGAGGACTTTGTTACGTGCTATGATGGAGTTACGATTGCTGGGAGATTACCTGATGACGAAATTATTGATTCAGTAGCTCATAAAATAGATAATAATGATTCAGATAACATAGAAGACATAAGACGACATACGCTCCATGGGTTTCCATCAAAGAGGCAAGGTTAACATTGAATACTTTACGGAATTTTATAAAGCCAATAGAGCAACAATAAAGTTCTATTTCTTTACATTTGTATTTAGTAAATATTTTATATATATGATAGAAGATTCACAAAATATGGACAACAAACAAAAATCCCGTGCAGATATTTAAAGTTTACCTAGCAATATCGTTATCTTGTAATAATATTTCTAATTTTTAACCCTTCTCTCGCTTTTGAATTTTTTTAGCAGCGTACTGAATCGTTTAGATTTTGGCATTTGAAATCTTTTTGTACATAAAACTTTATAAATATCTTTCCTTGTCTCTCTGTCGAAAGCAAATATTACCATCACCAACACCCCCTGTAAACCTTCTATAATACTATATGCTGCTGGAACACTTATTTTACTTTCAGCTATTTCTAATCCTGCGTCGACAATCCAAAAGCTTGACGTGATCAGTATAAGAGAGCATGAGTGAGTCCTAAAATAACAATAAGGAGTTAAACATATATTTTTTATGTTAAAAGGGATATGGTTTTGTTAATTAATTATATTGTATCGTTTTATGTTTACGTATACCTCTTACTGTGAAAAAAAATACATTCAAAACAAGGGTTTAAATAGGAATTAGATCGGTTTAAACTTTAGTAAAACAACATATTGATAAACTAATGAAATCATATAACCATCAATATTTTAAAACTAAATTGTAGGTACGTATTAACTATAGTATATAATGAGGTTAATGTAACAGAAATTAAAAAAGCATCTAAAGGAAAATCGCACGTTTTTTTTTATTTAAAATTAAGGCGCATCAACCTAAGTGGTTATTAGCGCCGCTTGGTATTACAATTTTTTTTTAATTTTGGATACAGATTTGACATACATATATTAGAAGATTACATATTTATTAGTACACGCACTGATGTTTAAATTTCGTTGTATATTCCTATTGATTTTACAAAACCTAAAACGGACGAAAAGATAGAGTGAACTTAATTCAGTTGTCAACACTCTTATTTCTCGTTCCATAAGACTTAGCGACAACAATAATAGGTCATCCGAAATCAATTCAATAAGGCAAACACTCTTACAAAACAGCTACCATAAAACCCAAATCAAATCAATAAGAGCATTCAAAAATATCTAAACCTTATTTCACCCAAAAAAGAAACCTTTCAGCTGGATCAACACAAAATCTTTCTACCTTTTATTAAAGGTGTCACTGACAAGATCAGTAAAACTCTTTTTTCTCTAAACATCAAAACCATCTTCACTACTCACTCCAAGTTGTCCAATCTCGTCAGATCCGTAAAAGACCAAATCCCCAATGAAGACCATTGTGTCTACGAGATACCTTATTCCACTTGCACACGTACATACATCGGAGAGACAAACCAACGAATTCATAAACGCATTTAGGAACATTCTATATCAGTCAAACATTCCGATACAACTTCAGCCCTAGCCCAACATCATATTCAAACAGGGCACAAAATAGATTTCGAAAAATTAAAATCCATCGCCCTCATCCGCTCCTTAAAATCAAGAATCATTCGTGAAGCTATCGAAATCGAAAAACGGCCTAACAGCTTAAATACGCGCGATGACGCGAAACAATTTCCGGCAACATGGCGACCCCTGCTTCAGCGTCTCCCGCCCACACCGCTCAGGCCACGTCAGCTCAGACCATGTCAGCGCATACCGTTCCCGCGCATACAGCGAGTATAAAAGCAGCGACACAGGGTAAGACCGGTTGTCACTCGACACTGAGGAATAGGCAGATGAGACCTCAGTGCCGCGAGACAGTTCTTGTATTTATTATACAGAACACGATACTGGTACGTCTCGAGTGAGGGTAGTAGACATATTGAGACCCCGAACTCGAACCGAATCGTATCACTCTTGATAATTGTTCCAAAATGGGAGCCGAAACGTCGAGCATTAAATTCTCAACCCCGGTTCTTCTCGAGTCAAGTGATTTTCTCGACAACCTAGTGATTTTCATATATATATATATATATATATATATATATATATATATATATATATATATATATATATATATATATATATATATATATTATTAGATGGCTTCTAGATGATTTAAGTTCTTGGACGTACTTATATTTTTAGTCTTTCTACGACACTTTTGCAATCTGTAAATAGTAAATATAATACTTTTACAAGTTTAATACTGGCATCCATTGAATGTAATAAAACAGAGCTTGACTTAAAATACTGCCTTGGGGGAGTCAAAGGTTCGTAGTTCTAGGTGTAGTCGTTACTTCATTTACTTTTAAATGCATTTTCCTGTTTGTGTACAGCTAGTAGTTAGTTATTAAGTCCACTAATTTTTGTTTAAGTTAAAAGTCATGAGGTTACTATTAAATCCAGCTAAAGTATCTGTTTTTACTGTAGTATTTTTATTATTATTGCTTTATAGTAAATTTGTAAATACCATTTTTATTTTTTGGCTTTGAAATCTATCATTAAAACAATAATAACAGTAGTCATATTGTCACATTATTTATTAAAATTTCTTGCTTATAATTACCTTCTTTTATGTTTACGTGTTTGTATTTTGTATTAAATAAAATTATTTACTTTATTTATAGTTTTATTTCGTTATTACTGTTTACTTATTTAGTGTAAACACATGTAAATTGTAAACTATAAAGGAAAAAAGCTAATGAATAACATATAAATGTTTGACGTATTTTTTAAATAATACCTTCCTTCCTGTATAACTTGATTAAAAAGACATTAATGGATTACGTCAAATTCAACCAAATATTTCTTGCTAATAACTCCATACTAGGTATTTGTATAATTTGTATTATACAAACAACCGATTCGAAAATAATTTTTAAGAAAGACTGTACCTTATTACCAAAACGAGCGTTTACGTCTTCCCTCTTTTACTCTCCGAATGCGCGCTCTGTCTGTTCTCTGCGCCGACAGCTAAGTGTACACCTACATTGGAACCGTATTTCTTCCGATCCGATATCGGGCGACGTCGGCCGACGTCGGATTAAAACCAAACTCAAGGTATTAAATCAGAGTGCCTATACTGCTTCGTCACGGAAGCAGTATAGGCACTATGATTTAATACCTTGAGTTTGTTTTCAATCCGACGTCGGCCGACGTCGCCCGATATCGGATCGGAAGAAATACGGTTCCAATGTAGGTCTACACTAAGATTCTGAAACCTTTTCCTATATTTACAAATAATACAGTGTTACACACAGTGTGTGTGTGTGTGTGTGTGTGTGTGTGTGTGTGTGTGTGTGTGTGTGTGTGTGTGTGTGTGTGTGTGTGTGTGTGTGTGTGTGTGTGTGTATGTGTGTGTGTGTGTGTGTGTGATGGCGAGAGGGCTAAAGTCTTATATTTTTAAATTTTATTTTTAATAGTAGGCAGTCATAAATGTCTTAAGCATCAGTAAGAGTGAAAAATACGAAATTAGATATAATGAATAGATAAAACGTATCAATTTAATAAGTAATACAAAATTTCTTACATATATCGAAGTAAATTCCTCTTTTCCAACCATATAATATCACATTTATATATTTTGTCAAATTGTCTTATTAAAAAAAAACTGTAGATGACGGTTAACGTTGAAATCACAATTAAACATATTACTGGAACAAACAAAATCGCAACCCTTGTGTCTTCCCCTAAAATAAAAAAATTATATATTAATACGAAATATAAAACAAATTGTAACACAAATTATGAATGGGGGAGTAGAACGCCAATGTAACAAAAATATGTATGTGTAATGTAACACAAGTATTTGGACTAATGTAGCAAATTATAATAGAGCGCCAATGTGACAAAAAACCAATAAATTAAAGCTGACTAGCAGAATGTGCCGCAGAGTGACTACTTGATAATCAAAAGAGGATTCGACCAATTTTCATGCCCTATAGAGACCGTAAAATGAAAAAATTAATGACAAGGTAAAAAAAATATAGAGATAATGTGATTAGTATTAACATATACTTTCTAAGGTATCTTGTAAAGCTATTTGCTGAAATAAAAAGGAAAACAGGTATTAATTGAAATATTTAGTCTTCACAACAAATTAAATACCTAATCCAAATATATACAGTGTAATACTATACACAGTATATGTACCACCTTTATGTACAGTCAACCTAGTTACTTATATTTTTATAGTTACTCTGTTCCGGGTTTTAGACGATGGACAGACCTTAAACCCAGACCTATAGACCTTAAACCCTCCTTCATTAGCTGCTTGACGTACGCCTTTCGCACTCGATGTACTATCCAGTGGTCACAGCGATGATGTGGAGATAGGATTTGTTGGCTCGTCTTTGTTAGACATAGTACATTCTTAGTATTTTAGTAAAGCCAGAGCAACCCAGAATGTATTTCTCTTTGCTTGGACAAAAAACATTATCATGTTTAGACAAAAGGTCATTAATTTCAGACTTTTTTGTTGGATCAAGAGAAATGTCTTCATCTTCTCTCAATTCAACTCGAAGCAAATGAACAGAATTTAACCTGAGGTCAGATATAAATGATTCAGATGAACACGGATAGCGCACAGACAATTCATCACTATAATACCAGCAATCACGTGGTTTATCAAGAATGATATTAGCTGACCTAAGAAAATCAGAACCTAGAGTATTGTTCTACTTTGTATATGATCAGGTACAGAGCATAAAGTTAATGAATGTTTTCTACCTTGAAGTACGACATTAACCTGAAAGAAAAGAGCATTAACCAAACTAGTTTTGCCATCAGCCAAAGTCATAAGCATAGATTTGGTACAATAGGGAATTTTATCTTTGAGAAAAATTCCTCGAAGTGTAGCACCGGCGATGCTACGTTCAGCACCTGAATCAAGAAAACAATATCCATGATTATCTTCGATAGTAATTGGAGTCAACGGGCTTGAAGGTGACTGAATCTGAGACGAAAAATCTAGCGATTGCAGAGGAGCGCAAAGAAATTCAGCCGAAGTTGAAACATCACCTATGTCAGTAAGTCACACCTATGTAGGTCATCGCCTATGTCAAATAAATAAAATTAAACAAAAAATACATTTTCAAATTAGGAACCTAAAAACACAGCTTAACATACCTTTAAATGTACAACTTCCCAAGTTTTTTGTAAAAAGTCGGGGAACATCTGGAATCCCTGAAGGAATTATAGAAATCAGTAACATACTTACTGGAACTATAATCGACAGTGTAGTATACATTTTAAAACGATTCGACGTTTGGTCTGCTTTCATAAATGTTCTGAAATAAAAAGATTTGTTATATAGATTAAAAGTATTTAATTACTATTTAACTGGGAATAAGCCACAATTAAAGATAAAAATACGTTTATTGACGTTTCAATTTCCACTTCGGAAATCATTCTCAAAATACAAACAGTAAATTAAACAAATTTTGTTTTTTGTTACATAGTGAAAAATTCTTCTAATAATTTGATTTTATCTGACTCATTTATATTGACAATTATTGACATTGACATACATTATGCATTTTAAAGTAGACGACTTTAAAATGATATTGCCAATATTGTTGAGTTGCGCTCCTCTGACGACTTTACTTATAAGATAGTTCATTCGATTACATGAAATCAACTTTAACTTGAGAATATCCGTCAGAAAAAAATCATAGCATGTAATTCGTCTTTAAAAAGACAAACACATGACGTTGATGACAGTAAAATTCTCGTGTTAGTGATTCCATAGTAAATTATGAGGGTACAACTAGAACAAGACTAAACATATCGGCTATAAGGGATGTCTGAATTGTCAATATAAATGAGTCAGATAAAATTAAATTATTGGAAGAATTTTTCACTATGTAACAAAAAACAAAATTTCTTTAATTTACTGTTTGTATTTTGAGAACGATTTCCGAAGTGGAAATTGAAACGTTAATAAACGTATTTTTATCTTTAATTGTGGCTTATTCCCAGTTAAATAGTAATTAATTTACAATGCCACAAGAAAATAGCTTCAGAACAATATTAAAAGTAATTAGTTTATACTTTTTGCACGTGTGGGATGTGGCCACTATTACGTATACCAGAGTAATATTATTTATTGAATAATTAATTCACAACTTAGCAAGGATACATACAAACAAGATTTTGAAGACAACATTTTATATAATTTTATTACAAAATAATGTATAACAAGATATTTTTAATATCTATTCATAGGAGATAATATAGGAGAATTCATATCCATGAATTCTCCTTGTAGTGAACTATCAAAATTTTTATTAAATATTTTAAAACCATTTACAAATAAAAATGACACATTCATAAAAAATACACAACATTTATTCAGTTATTAGTTAGTTATCAGTTATTAACATTATGTACTGATAATACATATTTTCAACTAAATAATAAATTCTATAAACAAAATTTTGGTCTAGCAATGGGCTCTAGTTTATCTCCATTCATAGCCGATATATTTATGGAAGATTTTGAAACAAATATCATTTCTAAACAAAATTTCAAACCCACAGTATGGTGGAGGTATGTAGATGAAGTATTCTCAATATGGCCTCATGGATCAGAGTTGTTGGACACATTCCTAAATGACATAAACGATAAAGAAGAGACAATAATATTTACCATGGAAAAGGAATATAATAACACGCTACCTTTCCTGGATGTTTTAATCTCTAAGAACGATACTGGATATGAGACTCAGGTGTATAGAAAACCAACACACACCAATAGATATTGAAATTTCAAATCAAATCACAATATTAATGTAAAAAAGGGTATAATTAAATCCTTATACGATAGAGCCAAAATTACTTGTTCTAATGAAAATTCGTTCTAGGAGGAGAAACATTTGTTAACATCTGTTTTATTAAAAAATGATTATCCTTTATCGTTTATAAATAAGGAATTTTCAACAATCGATCGAATAGAACAGAACAACTTAGAACGAGATCCTACAGCATACACAAGGAATATGAGGAAAATAACAATACCGTACATAAAAGGACTATCAAAAAAACTTAAAAGGATAGGAAATAAATTCAACATTTCAACAACATACAAAACAACAAACACGTTGAGATCTATTTTGTCCAAAACCAAACCTAACAATGAACAAGAAAGGACAAAGAATTGCATTTATAAAATACCTTGTGAATGCGATCAGTTTTATTTAGGTGAATCATCAAGGCCATTAAATGTTAGAATAAGTGAACATCAATCTTATATTAAAAATAAAGAATTTGATAGATCTCAAATATGTAAACACGCATGGGATAATGAACATAGAGTTCAATGGAATAATTCAAATGTAGTCCTAAAAGAAATGGATGGTAAAAAAACAAAAATCAAAGAAGCGGCTCTAATTATGCTAAATGAGGCCAATTGTGTCGCAAATTCCTCGGCAGAATGTAGTAGGATCTGGTTACCAATATTGAAAGAGAAAGTTATTAATAAGAAAATACCAGTATTAGTAAGTCAGTAACATATAGAGGATACATCATTTATGTTTTTTAAATAACGTCACATATAAAATCAGAATTTTGATGTTTGTTGAAGGTAAACTAAATTCACAAACAAATACTTATAATGTCGGGATAATATTATAAGGTTTTTTTCCTGGTTTTTCCCTCATAATTTACTATGGAATCACTAACAGGAGAATTTTACTGTCATCATGTCATGTGTTTGTCTTTTTAAAGACGAATTACATGCTATGATTTTTTTCTGACGGATATTCTCAAGTTAAAGTTGATTTCATGTAATCGAATGAACTATCTTATAAGTAAAGTCGTCCCAGGAGCGCAACTCAACAATATTGGCAATATCATTTTAAAGTCGTCTACTTTAAAATGCATAATGTATGCCTGAATTGTCAATATAAATGAGTCAGATAAAATTAAATTATTAGAAGAATTTTTCACTATGTAACAAAAAACAAAATTTGTTTAATTTACTATTTGTATTTTGAGAACGATTTCCGAAGTGGAAATTGAAACGTCAATAAACGTATTTTTATCTTTAATTGTGGCTTATTCCCAGTTTAATAGTAATTAAGATATTTTTAGGTCACAGTATTCATTTTTTATGTGTTATATTTTCATTTGTTTTTTTTGTTACTTTTTTTTACTGACAAATTAGCTTTTAACGTAGATTAGAGTTCAATGATAAATATTCTGAAATGCAAAATGTTAAGATGTGGCGAATAAAAACATTAATGAAATTAAAATAAAAGGATTTACGTATATTAGTAGTGTGATTTATAAAATTAGTACTTGAAGCTCAAATCGCGGGATCAATATGTGCATTAGTTTTTAAATATTTATTATTTACTATATATTTTCTAAATTGAACCACTTTTACTTCTTTAGGTAAGAAAATATCTCTTTTGACAACTAAATAGGTAATTAGATAAAATAATGCGTAAGTATTATTAATTTCAACACAGGAATTTAAAGAATTAAAAGGAGTTAGTCCGGGTCCAGTTGAACGGCCAAGCTTATTCCAATAAGGAGGATTATTTTTCGTTTTGGCTCAGCTGGCATGCTCTCTCTAGCACTACAACCCATGAAACTGTGGTAAAAAGCATGCTTTTATTTACACGGTTGTGAAACGAGACTATTAACATAGACATCGAAGAAAGATATGTCGCTGAACTGGATGGAATAAAGTATGAGAATAGAAGGTACAGTCATGGATTGCATACAAGGAAAGCAGCTCAAATGGTACGGACATGTCCAATGAATGAAAGACAGTAGATTCCCGAAACAAGTACCTGTATAAACACCTACAGGAATCCAGAAGAGAGGACTGCCTTAGAACACATGGTTGGAAGGAATAAGAAACTCAATGAGCTCGAAAGAACTTAAAGAACGATGGAACAACAGAATTGAATGAAAAATGGACGTCGGAAGACGTTTTATAGGAATTGTATCATATTATAGGTACATTATTATTATATCATATATATTTATATAATATACTATATACACGATATTGAAGGAGATGTCAATCAACAAAATCTACATCGTCAACTACACAGTGAAGACCCAACAATAATAGAAGTGTCACATACCGTCTTAAAACTCAAAGACAATAAAGCCACAGGAATCGATTAAATCTTTTGGAAAATGTATAAAAAAGGTAGTGATCAATTTTTCTGCAGTAATCCAGAAACTAATAGTACTTATATGGCAGAATGACTTAGTACCAGAAGAGTGGCTAAATGAAACAATATGCGTTGCATAAAAAGGTGTGATCAACTGAATTGAAAGAACTATAGAGGCATTACTCTGTTAGCAGCTGCGTATAACATCTTCGGCAATGCATAGTTTGAAAGACTTAAACATTTTACAAAGGATATTGTTGGTCAATATCAACGCGGATTTACTGCTGCAAAATCAACTATACATCAAATTCAAGCACATGGGCAGATTCTAGAAAAGTCACTAGAATATAACATAGATACACACTATCTCTTCGTCGACTTCAAAGCAGCCTATGTCAGTGTTAAAAGAACTGCATTATATAATGCAATAATTGACTTTGGTTGGGATTCCACCAAAGTTGGTTAAGTTGTCCCAACTAACAATGAAAATGTAAGCTCGTGCGTAGAATTGAAGGAGAAAACTTTACGTGTTTTGACGTTAATGATGGTTTAAGAAAGAGGGAGTCGCTGGCGTGTCTCCTCTTTAATGTTGGCTTGGAAAAGGCAACCAGAAAATTAAATACTATAATGAATGTAATTATTTTTAACAGAACCATAAGAGACAAGTGTAGTGTTTTACAAGCCTTGCGGATGCGGCAAGTGAATTAGGACTTGTGGTCAACGTATAATATATCTAATAGCCATCTTTATGTATTTGGAAACTATTCGAATTGCACAGATTATTTTTGTCACAGAAAATCATCAGAAACAGATTATACAATACCAACGAAAGAACGCAGCCTCTTGAAGAGCTTATGTGCAGCAAGAATAAAATTTTATGCAAATAGTCTTATAAATAATATGAGTAACAATTATACCAAAAATAGATTTTTGGAAGAAAATTTTTTTTATGAATTGTTTAAATAAACTAGACTATTTATTAATTAATTAATATATAAACAAATTAAATATTTGTAATATACGTAGAAATTAGATAAAAATTAAAGAAAGAATGATCAAAATCCATTGAGTAGATCCGGAGATATAGAAAATTTTATTAGTTTGAAATTGTTCGGTATTTAAACTCCATGGATTTGTACTTCCTTGTCACAATTTGAACTACATTTTTGAAAATTCGTAGAAGGTCCTGTAAAGGTACAATATTTGTGCAAATTTTTTAACAAAAAATACAAATCCCCATTCTTTAACATGGCGTCAATGAGATTCCTTAAACCTAACAAAAAAACATGACTAACTTTGGCCACCCAAATTAACTTAGGCCAATTTTTTTTATTGCAACAACATTCAAAGCAACAAATTGACTTTTCAACTTACAAAAATTGGCATTTTAGAGCTTTGTCAATATTCTAAAAAATAAAATTTTGTAATTTTATGTTAAATTTAGCTTTCTAATAGAGTCCAAAAATCGAAAAAATCGCGTTTTTTGCCTTAAATTGTTAATCATTAAAAAATGCCTTTGAACTTCAAACAGGAAACAGGCAGCTTTTCTTCTTATAGGTCTATAATAACTAAAAAAGTTGTCAGCTACCTGGATTATTAAATGTCACGAGAAAATCCTTATTACTTTGGACTAATATAACACAAGGATCTACAGACCGAGAATTTGGCATCCAAATTCCACTGATTCGCGCAATCGTACTTGTAAGTTCGTATAGTCGGCTGGAGTTACAATTTGCCAAATTTAAATGTAATCGTTTCTACTCATTCATATTAATATTATAATGTATAATATATTAAAGTTTTTAATATTGGTAATATTATTAAAGCTTTTAATACTATTTTTTAATATTAATATTAATATTAAGTAAAAAAATATTGCGCCTTGCTTAAAAAAAGTACGAGATAAATAACTCGTTTTTTACATGAAAGTGCAATTTTCTTGCAAATGCCTTGAGAGGGGAAATTTCCAATATAACACCAACCAAAAGACAAAAATATTAACTTAGGTACATGCAATCATTATCACTGCTTAGCGTATTTTCATGGAAATCAACCGCTGTGCTGACTAGTATTTTTTTTAATTGTGATGAATAAATAAAGTATATATTAAATAAAGGGTATTTTAAATAAATTTGTAATATTTTATGCGAAAAGAAGAAAAGACTCAGTTCCGAGTCGTGAGCGTATTCGTTATATTTTCTTTAATTGTGTTAAGCTACTCGGATGTAAGTCGTTATAATTATTCAAAAAAATGAATTTACAATATTTTTTATTAAATCAAATGAGAAATGTTATAGCAAATTAAGAACTAAGGAAAAAAAAACAAACTTTCATTTCCTAAATAGCAAATTGTTTCTGAACAGTTAAGATTAACTTCCAAATAAAATTTGGATAATATTGTAAAGGCTTTTATATACTGAAATTAAATTAAAAAAGAACCTGAAAAAAGTGGAAAAATAATAAAAAATTCCCAAATTTAAATATATCTCGAAAACAAAATACGATCTGGAAAAAGAATACCGGAAATGTTTAATTTTTTTGAGTTCTTCGATTGTGTAGTACCTTCAATTTCAGTTTTTTTCAACAATACTCGAGTATTCCGATTAAGTACTCTCAGCCTTATAAAAATTTCCAAGAAATTAATATCGGATGAAGTTTCAACAAGCGAAATGAAAATCCTAATATTAAAACAGCATTATGACCAGGTACAATATCTGACTGTTATGCAAATTAGTAGGTAATTAGAATTAGAAAGTCAGTATGGGCAAAACCAGCTTATTCAAATTATAGGTACCTACCTTTAGTCTTGTATTGAAGGATTTTAATTTATTACCCTTAGCATACGTAAAGATATAAAAAACGAGTTTATCTCGTACTTTTTTTAAGTAAGACGCAATATTTAATTACTTAATATTATTCTTAATATTAAAAAATAGTATTAAAAGCTTTAATAATATTACCAATATTAAAAACTTTAATATATTATACATTATAATATTAATATGAATGAGTAGAAACGATTACATTTAAATTTGGCAAATTGTAACTCCAGCCGACTATACGAACTTACAAGTACGATTGCGCGAATCAGTGGAATTTGGATGCCAAATTCTCGGTCTGTAGATCCTTGTTAATATAACTGGACAAGCAAGTGACAAAACAAACTTCATATATTATGTAAACTTTACTAACAAAAACGTTCAAAATAAATATTCCAATAAATATAAATAGTCATATTCAAACACTGCAAAATATTTAAATATTGTTCAATAAATATATTCAAATACTACAAAATATTTGGATATTACTCTGAGCTGATGTAAAGAAGAAAAGAATTCTGATTAAAATACCTCCCTCGAGAGGGTATACACTTCTTACCTACCCGTCGGCGAGAATCCAGAAACTATCGACAAAAACAGCCTGTACTAACCGAGAGAGAGTAACATTTAGCACAACTTTGAAATTTTTTAAAAAGTTTATACCAAATAGCTGCTTTGTGTTACACTTTATGTTAAAAATAAAAACAAATTCGGAAAGTGGGTCAAATTCTGTAGTGCCCTATTTAAAAAAAAATTGACGTTTATTTTAATCAAAAATATTTGAAAAAAAATATTGTTTAAACAATTTATTAATTTACAACCAAATAATGCACTAGAACTTCCCATAGAAAAAAGAATCATCTCAATATCTGCCATAGTTTTCGCGTTATTTGATATAAACTTTTACATTGGAATTTAGCTATGCCCAGAATCGCGAGGAACGGCCTTTAATAAAAATATTTTAACTGTAATTTTCTAATGAAATCTAAAATTAATAAATTCGTTTAACAAAGAAAATTTGTTATTGTTTATTCTTTCATATTAGTAGTGTTTAATTTAAATGATGATAGGACAAATCTGATAAACTTATTATTAATATATTTTGTACATAAATATGTACATATGTTAATATAGTGATACTACAGTAGAATTTTGAACTAGTAAATAATATTATTTTTTTATTTTTTCTTGAGATACTTACTTGACACTAAATGTTGTATTGTGGCATATGCAATAAAGCCATACACACGAAGCTAACATGAACATAAAGAATATGGAACCTAAAAAAATAAATAAACGTAAATCAAAGATATTTGTTATCACGTTCGAAATTAAATTTTGATTTTTAAGAGAAAATAAATACAATAATTAATTATAATGTTCAGCGTGTATAATGTTCAGCGACTGTATCCTAGTACCCGTTTTTAAAAATATTTTTATGATTGACGATCAAGCAACGAGAAATCAGAAGACTTCTCTTCAATAGCGAATTAGGTAAACCGAAGGTCCAAGCTTACTGGTAGTTATTGCACGATATAAGGAATAAGCTTTTATTCCGACAATACATCTACAGTTGACCCTTAAAAACATTTTTTTGCAATTTTTACGTGGTGAAAAGACGTTTAAATAAAAGGAGACAATTGCGTATCAATTAGCGAGAAATAAACAGAGAAGTAAAAACGGTGTTAGCGGAACATTAGAAGCTGAAAGTATAATAACCACGTACAAGAAATGGAGAAATAGACCAAATAAGTAAAATATTTAGAAATTTCAAAAACCATTAAGTAACGACAGAAAATTCGTATCCGCACTACACGTTGAAACTGGAATTGTCTACTTCAATGAAAAAAAACCAAGGTGAAAGGGAAGATTCGAGTGAGAGAGAGAGAGAGAGGGAGAGAAAGAGTACACTAAATTATTACAAAGAAGAAGACGTAGAATTTATCGAAGAAGTCAAAGAAAACAAGAAATGCCGGAAGAAGATAATTATACTCACATCTCCATAAGAGATAAGTAAACTAATTAAAAATAGTTTACTATTAAAAGCACCTGGTCTAGATGAAATTTGAAAATTTCAAACAAGACATTTCAAACCTATGGAAGATAACCCATGCTATCATAGTTTTGAAGTCAGGAAAGGACAACACGTTTCCGCAAAACCACAGGTCGATAAACTTACTTCCAGCAGTTAGCAAGATTGTAGAAAGAGCCATATTAAGCAGACTCCAATTAGAAACACACAGTCTAGGAATAATCCCAAAAGCTCAGTTTGGATTTAGAGCGGAAAACTCCAGCGAACTACAAGTTTTCAGGCTAACAGAGTACATAACAGCTGGATTTAACAACAAAAAGTACACAGAAGCAGCCTTACTGGACTTAGTCAAAGCCTTCTATAGAGTTTGGCATAAATGGCTTACATACAAAATGACAGACTACGGATACAGCGGAGCCATGACGAGACTAATCTCTTCGTACTTGGGCAACCGAGGATTAAAGTTCCGGATAGGACAAGTGCTGTCCGAGCACAAAGTTCCGATGGCCGGGTATTACAGGGAGCAGTCCTTTCACCACTATTGGATCCAATATATAACACCAATGTAACAAGACCACTAAGAACGCTACTCAGCCTTTATGCAGACGACCCAGGAATTGGGGCTAAATAAAGGAACCTAGATGTAGCAGTAAATAAGTTGCATACAGCGTTCTTCTTCTTCTTCTTCTTCTAGTTCCACGACTGCTGTCGATCGTTGGATATCATGTTGGCTACCATATTCGCTATCGTAACTTTATTAACAGCAGTTCTAAATAACGATGTAGTTGATTTTCCATGTCATTGCCTTAGATTTTTTAGCCATGATGTTCTTCTTCTACCAGGACCACGATTACTTTGAATCTTTCCCTGAATGATCAGATGTAAAAGATCATATTTTTCAGGGTGTCTTATAATGTGACCGAACTATTCCAGCTTACGTTTCTTTATTATATTGACCAGTTGTGTTGTTTGGTTCAGCCGTCTAAGGACCTCCTCATTTCTACCTCTGTCGACCCAGCTTATTTCCAGTAGTCATCTGTATACCCACATCTCAAAGGCTGTCAAGCGTTTAAGGATAGCCTCAGTTAGAGTCCACGCGTCCACTCCATATAGCAGGACAGGAAAGATGTAGCAAGATGTCATTCGAACTCTAAGGTCAATCGTGACTGTTTCTCAAAGTACGTATCTCATTTTTACAAAGGCAGCTCGGGCCTGTTCTATTCGGCTTCTAATTTCTGGGGTTGGATCCCAGCTCTCATTAATATTACTGTCGAATTACTGTTTCTCTACTCTGTCCAGTATGGCATCTCCGACTTTTATACCGTCATACTATATATAATTTTGTTTGCTAACTATCATATATTTAGTTTTCTTAACGTTGAGTTTTAATCCATACTGATCACAAGTCTGTTTTATTTTGTTCATTGGATTTTGAAGGTCTTCTCCGCAATAAGCAAGCACTAAGGTATGGTCGGAATATCTAATACTGTTGACGGTTACTCCATTCACAATAATACCTTCGGTTGTCTCCATTAAGGCTTTCTTAAATATTTCCTCCGAATAAGCTAAAAAGTAAATGTGACAATATACAGCCTTGTCTCACACCTCTTTTATATTTATTTCATCCAACAGTTCTTGTTCAACCTTTATTCTTGCCACTTGATGCCAGTATAGAATTGTAATTATTCGTAGATCTTTATCGTCCAATCCAGCTGTTTCCAATATTTCTAGCATTTTGTTATGTCGGACTTTGTCAAAAGCCTCTTTAAAATCGATTGCACAAATGTACACATTTTGATTTATATCTCTGCATCTCTGTACTAACACCTGTATACTAAACGAGGCTTCTCTTGTACCTAAGCCACTCCTTAACCCAAATTGAGTATTGCTAATTCTGTCCTCTAACAGCGTGTAAATTCTGCTCCCTTCTGCTCTCTGTCTCTGCTACTCACAGGAAGATCTTCAAAACGTGACACATCAGACTTATTGTCCGATAATCACCGCATGTCTTTGGACGATGTTTCTTAAGTATTGTGACAAATGTCGACTTTAACCAATCAGTTGGTAATATCCCAGTGTCATAAATTCTATTAAAGAGATTACACAGAGCTTTAACTCCATTTTCTACCAAAAACTTTAGTATTTCAGCACTTACTTCATCGGGGCCAAGTGCTTTTCCATTTTTTGCCGTTTGTATTGAATGTGTAACCTCACATTTTATTATAGATGGACCTGATATAGCAATCGGTGTATAGTGTTCTACTCTCTCATCTTCTAATAATTCAGAAATGTAGTTTTCCCATTCTTTTAACTGTTCATTGATGTCTAATATTCTGTGTCCGTTTCTGTCTTGTAAACTTTGGGAGACTTGTTTCTGTTTGTTTCCAGCGACCTCTTTTAATTTCTTGTGCAGACGAAATGTATCGTGTTTCTTTTCATATTGTTCAATTTCATTACATTCTTTACAATGAAATTGTGTTTTTGCGTGTCTTATCTGCTGCCTGATTATTGCGTGGATTCTCTTGTATTCGTTTTTATCTTTATTTCTGACTTCTCTTCTTTGATCCATAAGTCTCAGTATTTCTTTTCTCATCTAACCTTGTTTCTTTCATGCTTTTAGCGCACTCAATTTTGTTTCTTGGACAGTCTTTAAGAAGTCTTTAATTCTCGTCCAGTTTTCCTCAGTACTTTCCTCTTTGCTTGATGTTAAGTTCATTTTTTGTTCTAATATACTTATTGGTTATTTCTTGTTTTACAGTGTCATTTAACATTTTTTCTCTATCAATAGTAACTGTTTGCTTATTCGTCCTTGCAACTCTTTTTAATCTCAGTCTTATTTTTCCTACTAAAATATTGTAATCTGTTGGTACATCTGCGCCTGGATATGTTTTTACTGCTAATACTGAATTAAAGCATTGGATAACATAGAATAAAAAATGAAGTATACAATAGTCATTAATTCAGGGAAGACATAAGTGATTATGGCTAAAAAGAGAGAAACCAACACTAGCAGCTGACAGTGCAAAATAATCCCATCGAATAAAGAAGAAAAGTGAAATACTTAGGAGTCACAATGGATCAAGGATTAAAATTCACGCAGCATGTGGACAAAACCATTCAAAAAGCAACAATAGCCGGAGCTGCTATAAGAGCTCACTGTAAATAAAGTTAAAATTAAGATTGAATACATCTCTCGTATGGGGATACATAAGCAACAGAAACTAAAAGGGGATACAAGTAGCTTGTAATAACAGGCTTAGAGAAGCAGTTAATGTACCCCAGTATGATGCTGAACGCATCCTCTTAAAAAACAAGTAGCTCTCTCAGCAGAAGAAAATTCTGCACAAAGCACTGGTAATTTTACTAATAATGACTTCTATTTTTCAAACAGCCATTATTTTTTAAAAAAGTATTATAAAAAACATTTCAAAAATTAGTTTAAAACGAAAACAACAAAGTAGCACACAATCTGGTATGCAAGTAGGATCTTAGCTGGGAGGCGAAGACAAAATTACATTATAATAAATATAGTAAGTCTAGTTTTTAACAGTGTCCCAAACTTATTCTATTGGTGCCGATATACATTATCTATTGATTTTATAGTATCAATATAGAAGGTATTAAATTTCGATTATATCTAGTCCTTACCCAAGCATGTGCAGTGAAGGTTAACTTTTTGGAGCAAAATTAAGCATAAAAAAGTTGTACCCATACTAATTGAGTAAGCTGTAAAGCATGTTCTGTGTCCTTCATGTGATTCCAAAACAAATTGATAAATAATTGCAGCAATATAGTAGCAACAGGTTGAAATTACTATACCTAAAACAATAGAAAATTATAATAAGTATTAACGTTGCAATAATTATTAAGTATGGGATAATCTACGCCAATAAGACCATTATAACAATAACACAGGTCTGCAAACAAAAAGCTTTATGAATAATTTACACCAATTCAATGTGCTGAAAATGAAAATATTATCAGAAAATGTTTAGGACTTCAAGATATTTCATTAAATAAAAATGCAGACTTCATTTTTGCTATTTCAAGCTATGAATTCTTCCACTTAGCATCCTAAAATTCACAGAGCATTCTGTCGGGCACCATGCCATTTAAATCGCTCATGTCGCCATGAGCGACTTAATCTTAAAAATAGGTGTTACTATGGCTCACGAACATATAGGAAATGTTGTGAGCATGTATAGAAGTCTTTTTTTCTTTAAGTGCCGCCTCCCAATCGGAAGTTGGATATCATCATCACTATCTTTACTTTATCTACTGCTGCTCTGAAGAGTTCTATAGAACTACATGTAAACCAGTCCCTTAAATTCTTCTAACATGACACTCTCCTTCCTATACTCCTTACTCCTCTCATCTTTCCCTGTATTACCAGCCTTAGCAGTTCATATAGCTGTCCCCTCAGTAGGCGTCCCAGATATTGTAACTTTCTAATTTTTATTGTGTTTATTATTTCGCATTCTTTGCCCATTTCTCGCAATACTTCCGTGTTAGTTTTGGCTGTAACATATTTATGTAACTTATGTAACTTATTTATGTGTTCTTGCTTCAATGTCCAGCTTTCAAGTCCATATTTCAGTATCGAAAACACGTAGCATCTCACTGCTCTTACTCTCACTCACTCTAATCTAAGATCTTTGTTGCAGAGAATTGTTTTCATTTTTACAAACGCACTTCTTGCTATTTTTATACTAGCTCTTATTTCGGTTATTTGATCATTAGTGTCTGAAATCCAGGTTCCTAGGTATTTGTATTTATCAACCCTTTCTGTCGGTACATTTCCCAAATGTACGTTTATTGGTATATTTGTTTTCTTTGTTATTATCATGTCTTTTTTATATTTATTTTTAGTCCATATTTTTCACAGAAACTGTTTGTTTTGTTTAGCAGTAATTAGAGTTGTTCAGCAGAGCTTGCTATAATCACGGTGTCGTCTGCATATCTTATGTTGTTGATAGATCTTCCGTTAATTATTATTTCTTCACTTTGAGACAGTAAAGCTTCTTCAAAAATGGCTTCACTATATACATTAAATAGTAATGTGAACTTAATACATCCCTGCCTAACTCCTCTCCTGAGTTAAATTTCTGGACTGGGTTCGTTCGTTATCTATTACGATTTGTGTTCTTTGAGTCCAGTAGAGGTTTGTTATTATTCGTAAGAAACTTGGTCTATGTTTTTTGTCTTTAGAATTTGGACTAATTTTTCATGTCTTACTTTGTCAAATGCTTTTTCAAAATCGACGTAAAAACATGCATATCCATTCATATCCATGCATCTTTGAGCTAACACATTAAAAGCAAATAACGCTTCTCTGGTTCCTAGTCCGTTTCTGAACCCAAACTCTCATCTATTCCTTCTTCCATGTATTATTTTCAGGAATAATTTGAGAATGTGACTTATTAGTGATATTGTTCTGTATTCACTGCAATATTTAGCGTTTGTATTTTTAGGGATAGCACAAAAGGTGGAGAGTAACCATTGTTTCGGTTTGTGTCCTGTTTTGTATACTGAGTTAAATAAGTCTACTATAATATCTAAGGTTTCATCATTCATGCATTTTAAGATTTATATAGGAATTTGGTCTGGATATAATGCTTCACCATTTTTGCTGTTTTTTAATGCTATTTTAATTTCCTATTTTAATAACTTTAAAACCATATCCTCTTCTACTTCTATCTCCATCTGTTAGCCTTTGATATCCATCTATCCTGTTAGCCATCTAAAACTAGCCTTTAATAGAAAAAACAAGTTTTTTGGAATTAAATCGATTTATTTCTCAGCATAGTCCCCTTTTAGCTTGATACACTTAGTAAGACGATGTTCCAATTTTTTGATCCCATCCGAATAGTACTTTTGCTCGAGCACTTCAAAATAGGCCGAAGTTTCAGCAACGACTTCATGATTTTTTGCGAAACGGCGTCTCCCGAGCTATTTTTTTAGGTTTGGAAACAGAAAACAATCGCTGACGGCAAGATCTGGGGAATACGGTGGGTGTTTAACCAATTCATAGTCCAATTCGTGTAATTTTGCCATGGCGACGGCCGATCGGCGAGCCGGTGCATTGTTTTGGTGAAAGAGCACTTTTTGCGTTCCAAACCGGGGCATTTTGGTTTTCTACGCAATTCGGCATCGAATCCATCCAATAATGCTGCATAGTACTCATTGATTGTTTTTCCTTTTTCCAAGTAGTCTATGTGGATGATGCCCTTCGCATCCCAGAAAACAGTCATCATCACTTTGCCGGCCGAATGTGCACTCTTTGCCTTCTTCGGCGGCCCTTCGCCTCGTTTGCGCCACTGTTTCGACTGTACTTTGGTTTCCGGTATGTAATAAGGTTTCATTAACGGTGAGAATTGGGCGAAAAAAATCCTTCGGATCGCGCCGTATTATCGCCAAAAGTGTTTCCGAAGTGGTCACACGTTTTTGCGTTTGATCAATTATTGTCAGCAAACGCGGCACCCATTGAGCGGATAGCTTTTTCATGTACAAATGATGGTGACTGATGTTGTGTACGCGTTCGTAGGAAATGTTTAGGACCTCTATTAATTCGCGGAGCTTAATTCGACGATCTGCCATAATAATGTCATGGGCTTTGTTGATCATTTCCGGCGTGGGGACTTCATTTGGCCTCCCGGCATGCTAATCATCAAAAACACTTGTACGACCACGAACAAATTTAGCTTTCCAAAATTTTACTGTTGCTAACGAAGGTGCAACCTCACTATAAACTTCGTCTAGGTCGGCTTTGATTTGCACATTTGTTGTACCCTCTTTGTGGAGGAACTTAATCACCTAACGATACTCGACTTTTTCCATTTCTCTGAAAACACAAAATTTGCTTGCTTTTGACGGCTGTAAAAACCAAACTAATTGTTTTTAAAACTTAAAATTTTGACAGACGTCATATCATGAATGGTAAACGTCAACGTCGAAACCAATTCGGTATCAAGTAGTGCTATCTATCAAAGGCTCGTTTAATATCAATCTATCTTCGTATTCTGTCCATCTCTTTAATTTGTCGTTAGTATTCAGCACAACTTTCCCATTTGCTTTTTCCAGTATTCCCGGTTTTCTTGTTCTATTGTTGTGAGTTCATTCTTTAATTTTTTTATGTGTGTTAAAACTATCTATATGTCTTTTCTGCTATTCTTCTATTTTTGCGCATTTATGGTCCAAGTTTTTACATCATATACCAGTATGGATTAAATGTACCATTTTACAAAGCGATATTGAAGCTTTAGATCTTTTTTCTACGTTTGCCTGACGAAATTAGTCTCTCCTAGATTTGAAGAAAATTCTTTAGTTTTTTAGGTTTTGATTAAGACCTTAAGTAAGACCCTGGGATTGACTAGCCAAATCTAGAAACAACGAAGCTTCGAGGTTTGACTATAACATATCTATTATATTGTACCGCTTATCCTATCACGATTTAAACATAATAAAAACTTACTTGGTATATAAGTCTGCGCATCTAATGTCTCATTAGATAATAAAATCATTCCTGCTGAACTGCTAAATATTGCTGTTTTACAAACAAACATGGCGAGCTTGCCCAATAAACTATCTAAACAATAATCTTCGAAATTAATAAATATAACTCTCTTATTTTCTCTGATAATTGCTGAACCGTTACTAGTAAATCCAATAATCTCGTTAAACAATACTGAAGAACTAAAATAAAGAAGAAAAATTGAATATTATTGGTGATAGTTAATGTGATATAAAAGTACATTTTGGTTTTAAGTAACTAAACAAGACAATTTCATTAAGTACACAAAACTGAAACTGATTTTCAATCTAAAAGCCAAAATGTCAAATATGAAAAATATTTATATTTTTTTATTTATGCTCAATCCGCCTCCTCAATCTTTTCTCCTTCGTAAGGATGTAGTGGCGTCGTATAATTTTGTTTGACTATTTCTGTCGAATTATCTCTCTCCTGTCCAGGAGATCTATCGTACCGGAGATCTTCGTTTGGATCTTTTACCCGCGTCATTACCTTTAACTATCATTCGCTCCATGCCTTCTTTTCTACTAGATATATGTCCAAAATATCTTAGTATATTTTGGTTGATAGTCTAGTTTTTATGTTAAGTTCTGCTGGAATTGAGTTATTTGTGCGGTGGGCGGTCCATGGTGTGCGCAACATTCTACGATAGACCCATATTTCAAATGCCATTATACTCTTTGAATCAGCTTTTTTTTGTAGTCCAAGTTTTTTGTGATGTCAGTGTTTTTCCAAATTTTTGTGAGTTTGGCTGTTGCCGATCTGGCCATTGGGATGCGTCGACGGATCTCGTCTTCGCATCCTCCACTGTTACTAATAACGGAGACTAAGTAATTAAACTGCCTGACCACTTTGCAACCTCCCATGATTCTTATCTCTGCCTGATAGTTTCTGATTTTATCGATGATCATCACTTTGATTTTCTGCATATTTATTTTCAAACCATACTCCGTACTCACCGTGCCTAGCCTATTCATAATTTGTTCCAGTTCTTCTGACGATGACGCCAATATAATACTGTCATCAGCACATCGAGTTAGACTCTATGGAGAGAGGATCACGTGACTAAAAACCACCTCACTTCGGTCATATTTTTATATTCGTTTTGTTTACGTTTGTTGTTTTTCGAATATTTTTAGTTTTATAATACTTTTAGAGAAAGTGTAATATTATACTGTGATAGTGCATAATAATGGTTTCTTGTTCTCAACGTATAAAAAATCTTCAGGAATAACGTTCCACAGGTTAGTATACAAATATGTAAACAAAGTAATGGCAAGTAAGGGCCATTACTTTACATATTTGTATACTACAATAAAAATTTAAAATTGAAAAACAATTGATTCTATCCTAGAGATAATACAAAGTGACAGTAAAGATGTTAATTTTCTACGTATTAGATTATGTTGTAGGAACTCATTTTAATTAAAATATTTGAAATTTATAACATTTGTTTAAATTAATACCTTATAATTTGATACTTCATGATGGTTGTTCTATTTTTGGTAAGATTTGATCATTTACTAAAAATTTAATAAAAGTGCGACAACATTGTCGCATATATGTCGTTTTCATTGGCAATTTATGTAGTTTGAAAATCACTTATTGCATTTAATATATATATATATATATATATATATATATATATATATATATATATATATATACAGGGTGTATTATTTAATACGAATCCCTAAATTAATTTTTCCAAAGCCAGTCCTGGAATTTTTTAGTTTAGCTAATACCAGTCGAATGCTTGATAGTATGCTGTATCATGCAAAAATTAAAAAAATCAAATGAGCCGTATAAACACTACAGTAAAATGAAATAAATGGTCAATTACACAAATCACCCTGTTAATTAATAAAGAAGAGGAATTGACATTTTTTAGTGGCCACATGATATGCTCCCTGAGGGACTCTACATATGGTAGAAGTATGTAAAGTTCCTCATGACTCACCCTGTATAAAGATACTATTAAACAATTTGTAAGCTATTTATAATAATTTTTAGTTCATTAATCATATTTTTATTTAAAATATAAATTTGTTATTAATACTTAGTGATGCGTATATTTGAATTTTTACAGGTAATAAAACCGATCCCCTACCATTACAACGTTCAGGAACCGGGTAGAATGAAAAAAACCAGCCCGTGACCTTCCAGTCTTTTCGCCGAGGGTCAGGAAGGTCGACATCCTTCAAAAAATTCTAATCCAACAGCTGTTTTCATATAAATATAACGGAACTTTTATTGTGGAATCAGTTAGAAGATATATCGCGCCTAGTTTTAAATGTAACGCTCGTTTTCTAAATAAATTATGTAATTATTAGCCGAAAATAAATTGTCGTATAGTGGTTTAATAAATTGAAATGAATTATTGTGTTTTAGTGAATTAAAATAAGTAAAATGAAAACAATAAATTAGAATTAATAAAGATACAACAATAGTTTATTAAAAATGTATTATTTGTTAAAAATGTATCGTTTGTAGCTATTAGTAAGAAATATTTGTAAAGCAGATAGATTTAGTTAGAATAATTAAAGAATGTTGTTTTCTGGAATTACCCGAATGACGTTTTATAAAGAGAGTTGGTTGGTAACGATATACGTCACAGAGGTGGATGATTTTGATTGGTCAATTTTTGAATGCAAGGAGGTAGTGGTTGTGGCTATGAGATAGGAGAGAGAAAAAAAGTTAGTTAGTCAGTTTTCGTCGCCCAAGAAGGAAGGAGCTTTGTGGTTTGTGTTTGTTTGAAGTCCCGAAGACGTAATTTACCGGGTGTGTTTATTTGCTGTGTAAAAGCTGATCAGTGTGAGGAACGGGGTACAGAGAGATAGAAAAACCAAAGGGTATAAGAATATTAATATCAGACGAAGCCGGAAACATTTGAAGTTATAAACTGGGTTATAAAATATTTTGAATCCACGATCAAAGGTAAATAGTACAAGTTAAATAGCCTGAGATTGTAATTAATTAATGCTGATTTATTGTGAATAATTGGAGATTAGATCATTTAATAAATATAGACAGGATCTTTTCTAAATAAGCAATAGAATACAATTTAAATAGCATAACAATATATATATATATATATATATATACAGGGTGAGTCATGAGGAACTTTACATACTTACACCATATGTAGAGTACCTCAGGGAGCATATCATGTGACCACTAAAAAATGTCAACTCCTCTTCTTTATTAATTAACAGGGTGATTTGTGTAATTGACCATTTATTTCATTTTACTGTAGTGTTTATACGGCTCATTTGATTTTTTAAATTTTTGCATGATATAGTACACTACTATCAAGCATTCGACTGGTATTAGCTAAACTAAAAAATTCCAGGACTGGCTTTGGAAAAATTAATTTAGGGATTCGTATTAAATATTACACCCTGTATATATATTTTTTAAAATGCAATAAGTGATTTTCAAACTATATAAATAGCCAATGAAAACGACATATGCGACAATGTTGTCGCACTTTTATTAAATTTTTAGTGAACGATCAAATCTTACCAAAAATAGAACAACCATAATGAAGTATTAAATTATGACGTATTAATTTAAACAAATGTTATACATTTCAAACATTTTAATTAAAATGAGTTCCTACAATATAATCTAATACGTAGAAAATTAACATCTTTACTGTCACTTTGTATTATCTCTACGATAGAATCAATTGTTTTTCAATTTTAAATTTTTACTCATAGATCGTATTGGGGCATTATTTTCGATAAATAATAAATTAAATTGATTAAAAAGTCAAACCTCTTGTATGTGTTAGTTTATGTTGATTGTAAATGATTAAAATTTATGTCTAATAATAATACATTGCATCAACTGTACTAAATAAAAATAAATCTAAAAAAGTTTAAAATGAAGGTTGGCGTTGACCGTTTGACGTTTCTTGATATTTTATACCCATTGCCATTATTGTCATTATTAATTGTTAATTATGTGTACAAGAATACATATTTCTTCTGTCATATCTACGTGAAGTACATTGTGTTAGTTTTGGTAGAGCTTTTGTTACTTTCGTTCAAAATGCCACATCAGTTTTCGACCACAGAATATGCAGACATAATATTTGTTTATGGATTCTGTAATGGGAATGGTAGGGCTGCTAGTAGAGAATATCGCAGGAGATTTCCTAATCGTCGAACTCCCAGTCAGTCAACATTTGGGTCAGTTTTTAATTATTTGCGAGAGAATGGCACTTTTCCTAGTGGAACAACAGAGCGACATGTAGATGAAGCGCAAGAAGATGACATTATGGAGGCCGTTACTATGAACTCTACAATAAGCACTAGACAAGTATGTCGAGAACTCAATGTTACTCAATCAAAAGTAAGTAGCGTCTTACAAAAAAATAATCTATACCCATATCACATTCAAATGGTTGAGTGACTACATGCTGGAGATGAGATCGATAGGTTGGAATTTTGTAGATGGATTAACAATAATCAACCAACGCTATACAGGACACTATTTACGGATGAAGCCCAATTTACCAGAGACGGGATAAATAATTCACGAAATTCACATGTGTGGGCAGAAGAAAATCTCCATGCTATTCGAGAACGTCGTTCTTAGTTAAGGTTTTCGGTTAACGTGTGGATTGGTGTCATAAATAACCAATTAGTAGGTCCTCACTTTTTTAATGGTCCTTTAACAGGGCAGGTCTATTTGAACTTTCTACAAATTATTTTGCCGAATTTGCTTGCCAACGCGAACGTTGCTATCCGAGGGATGTATTTTCAGCATGATGGGGCACCCCCACACTTTTTACTGGCAGTGAGACAACATCTTAATAATGTTTATGGCAACAGGTGATAGGACGTGCAGGTCCTATTTCGTGGCCTTCAAGATCCCCTGATGTCAATCCCATTGATTACTATGTTTGGGGACGATTGAAGCAACTAGTTTACGCAGTGAATATTAATAACCGACAACAATTAACTGATAGAATTATACATTGTTGTAATACTATTAGAAACGATCCTAAGAGTATCCGTAATTCAATACGTCAATTAACAATTCGGCAACAAAACTGTGTACAGGCTGCAGGGTTCCATTTCGAAAATCTATTTTGAATTATTTTTATTTTGTTACCATTATTGTATCTTTTTCAGTTCTAATTTATGGGTTTATCATAACTATGTACATATTTTTAGTTTTTTTTTTAATTGTTCTTCGTTATTGTTAGTAGTTACTGTTTTTTGTTGTGCAGTGACTCAGTTTATCATTTCAATTAAAATGTTTGAAATTTATAACATTTGTTTAAATTAATTACCTTATAATTTGATACTTCATTATGGTTGTTCTATTTTTGGTAAGATTTGATCGTTCACTAAAAATTTAATAAAAGTGCGACAACATTGTCGCATATGTCGTTTTCATTGGCTATTTATGTAGTTTAAAAATCACTTATTGCATTTTTAAAAAAATATATACAGGGTGTAATATTTAATACGAATACCTAAATTAATTTTTCCAAAGCCAGTCCTGAAATTTTTTAGTTTAGCTAATACCAGTCGAATGCTTGATAGTAGTGTACTATATCATGCAAAAATTTAAAAAATCAAATGAGCCGTATAAACACTACAGTAAAATGAAATAAATGGTCAATTACACAAATCACCCTGTTAATTAATAAAGAAGAGGAGTTGACATTTTTTAGTGGTCACATGATATGCTCCCTGAGGTACTCTACATATGGTAGAAGTATGTAAAGTTCCTCATGACTCACCCTGTATATATATATATATACAATGAGTAAGTTTAAAAAAAATAAATCTTTTGGTCACGAGGATATCGGTCAAAGAAGAAATAATAAAAGGAAATCACAGTTCCATTCCTATATTTGAAGACGTTTCGCTTATTGAATTTACAAGCTTCATCAGTTCAATGAATGGTGAGTGAAGAATAATAGGGTGTAAAACAAACACACTATTCTCTTGGTAACCGTGGTCAAAATAATAAAATGTTGGTGTTGAAATAGTAGCTGAAATGTTCATATGTAGTAGCATTCATATATAATAATGAGAAAAAGTTTTATTTAAAAGTGAAAGAAATGAATAAAAACTACTACAAAGCACTATAAAAACCCATCATATTTCACGTAAAAAAAAACTTATAACAGTAAAGTGTAGATATAAAAATAAAAAATGACCAAACACACTAGCACAGAGCTGTTGTTATAACAAAGTTAACATTAAAAAAGATTTTGTACTTCACTTTAGGGCGCATCTAAACGAATGTCAAGTTGCCGGCATTTTCGAGGAGGATTGATGGCGCGAGTACTGATACTGTTTTCGCCAAAGATGCGTAGACTCACCAGCGATATTTAAATCATTTTTGTAAATTTTCAAGCCGAATTTGATCAAAGTATGTAATATTGAAGCGTGGTAGTATTTTGAAGCTGTATCAATATAAAATATATCTTCGTTGCGTTAAAAAGCCGATAAAAAATTATTTTCTTCATGACGTTGTGAAACAATTGAAAAACCGTTCTAGTTTCACAATTTGTAAAACAGTTTGTTTTTATTTAAAATCAAGTACATGTGGTTATAAAGATGAAACAAACGTGCTAGAATATATCTGAATACTTGTTAGAGTAATAAGTAGTATAGCAGTATGTAAAAAAAAAACAAAAATGAAACGGGCGCGTGTATGCAATTTTGGCTGTTAATGGGATAATGACGAAAATTGTAACATATTTAGTAACTTATTTTATTATTTCTAGTTTTATTATTCCCTTTTATAACTTACGGTTCACATGAGAGCATATGGTTTTTGCTATCAAAAATGGGATCAAAAACTACACTGTTGCTATTAATGTGAGTTTCATTGCTTTCATAAAAATAATGATACATTTTGCTTTCTTCCATTTCCTTTTCTGTTATATTAACGCATTTATCTGGTATATCCCAATATTGGTTTTTATTCATACAACATTTTGGAAATTTTTGCATTATGTTATCCTAAAAAAATAAATTGTAAATTTTCTGCAATAATTGTGTTACAACTATAATAAGGTTCCAGTTATATTAAAAAACTATTTGCTACGTAAATAGAGAACTATTTAGAATAAATGAACTAATAGAAGAACTATTTGATATGGAAATGATAAGGAAAGGGAGGTATAGAGAAATGCAAGGTAAATCAGAATAATAAAATTGCATTATAGAAAAATTTATATTGTGTTTTATTTGTTTCATTAACCTTCGGCCAGGCGCGCCCTAAATAATTACATCATCAGGCGCGCCGCGGCAATTTGCTGCCATGTAGTTTCGTATTGTTTTCGACACTTTTAATTATCGGTTAACTGTATCGTTATTTATTTTGTCAAAAAATAAGAACGCTTTATTAATTTAACTAATTTTAATAAATTGTACAAAAAAAAACTTTTAATTTATTTGATCATTACAATTAATACCTACAATATTATTGATTTGATTGATTTTGACTTGATTTTTTCACTGTAACAATTGCAGCATCTACCACGTTTAGTAGGATTTTCGTCTGCTTGATGGGGTACTGGTTGTTTCGGAAACATCCTGGATAGGAACTCGGTTATATTACGAGAAAGTGTTTTAATTTGTGATCGTTTATGAAGGTATTCTTTCATCAAGTTCATTGCAAGGTTTTTGAGAAAATGTCTCCTTTTGAGTGATTTTCCAGAATTTGCAGCGGAATGTAGAACAAAAGCATTTATGCCTCCAATATTCATTAAATTATAGAATATAACATACGGCCATCTTTTAGTAATTTGTGAAACACTGTATGATGAACATAATTTATCTACAGTATCAATTCCTCCTTTTGTTTTATTGTAATCTAAAATCAACTGTGGTTTCTTAGTATCCATGTCAACCGTACTTTCGTTGTGCATAGACGATAATAATATGACTGATTTATTTTTACGCGTCACGTAAGAGGTAATCATGTAATCTTTTTAAAATCCAAATATACTAGATTGAACTGCCCTTGATTTGTGTGGAAGAAATTCTTGAGGAATTTCTCTTTTGTTTTTCTTCAGCGTCCCAAGCAGAGTAACTTTCTTCTGCAGCAAATATCTAGCTAACGGAATACTAGTATACAAATTATCTGTTGTTATCTCAATGCAACCTCCAACACAAAAAGATGGCAACGGCGACACTATGTCGCCGCCTGGATGTAACGGAGGATGCAATAGCACTAATCTAAGAACCAAGACCAAAATAACTGGTCTTAGCAGCCTAAACGGTCATATTTTTAAGCTTACCAAGCAATCAACAACCGAGAACAGCAATATATGTTCCCAGAAAAAAGACTCGCCCATGGTGCAGTTTTGTACCTCAGACGTAACTGCGGCTAAAATGAAGTGCCCATGGGCAAAGAGCAAAAATAGAGAGTTGATACTAGCATCAATCTACCTACCCTCAGATGCAGCCACCCTACCACCAACGAGGAAAATGAAAGATCTGGTAGACCATTGTCTCAGTCAGAAGGTAGAACTTATTATTGGCTGCGATTCGAACTCTCACCACTTAGGCTGGGGCAGCAGAGACAACAATGGTCGAGGTAAGTCTCTTTATTACTATATTATTATAAAAGATTTGTGTATCTTAAATAAGGGCACCGAACCTACCTTTATTAATGTTCGTAGCCAAACAGTCATAGATATCACGCTGGCAACAGCTGAAATATCGAATAAAATTCTTTAGAACTGGCAGGTATCGAAGGATATTTCTATGTCTGATCACTGCTGGCTAACCTATAATATTAGTCTGGAAAAAAGCCTTATCAAATCGCGCGACTCTAGGAGGACGGATGTAGTACTCTACAACCGACTCTTAAAAGATGCTCTCCGGAATGAAAAGGCTTCAACTCCAGAAACTAATATAGAATTGGAAAGGTATACGGTATCTATCCAAAACAAAATAAACTATGCTTATAAAAAATCCTGTCCAATAAGGATGGTCCAGGAAAGTCTTGGTGGTGCACTGAATTGAAACATCTTAGAAAGATAGCAAGAACAGTTTTAAACAGAGCGAAACGCACCAAACTCAAAGACGATTGGGATTCTTATCAATCAAATCTCAGAGAGTTTAAAAAAGTCTGCAGACAAAGACAAAGAACCTTCTGTGAGAACCTTTTGGAGAACCTTTTGTGAGGAAATCGAAGATTTCCCGCAGGCCTCCAGGCTACAAAAAGCGCTCTCAAAGGACCCATATGGGCATGTCGGCATACTAGCGAAGGAAGATGGGAACAAAACTCCCAACCTTCGCGAAAGTGATGAGGTCCTGATGAAAACATACTTTCCTGGTTCTAGTGTCTCAACAGCACCAAACCTTATGAAAGAAGCAATCATACCCTCAACAAACGACTGACATCTCGCCAGAACAATGATTAATGAGGAAAAGGTAAAATGAGCCATATCGTGCTTCACTCTTTTCAAATCACCAGGGCCTGACGGCATATATCGAGCCCTACTACGGTGCGGACTGGATATCCTTCTGCCGCACCTCGTGGAAATATTCATAGCCTCTTTGGTTCTGAGATATAGAGAGAGGTACTTGTGGTTTTCATACCAAAACCAGGTAAGATGGACTACACCCTACCAAAGGCTTTGCGACCAATTAGCCTAACATCCTTTCTGATGAAAACGATGGAGAGGCTATGCGAGAGGTACATAAGGGATGAAGTTCTGGTCCATACCCCGCTTCACCCAAATCAACATGCATATACTTCGGGAAGATCTACCGATTCTGCACTGCATCATGTAGTGAGAAGAATTGAAAGATCGCTGGATAATAAAGAATCCAGCCTAGGTATATTCATAGACATTGTGGGAGCGTTTGATAAAACTACATTCCCAACTATCACCCAACAGCTCAACGTCAGGAATGTTCCCCTGGCCATAAGCAAATGGATATTCAATATGCTCTCTAGTAGAGGATTAAGCATAAATGTAGAAGACGTTTCTGTTAGAGGTATGGTTACTAGGGGGTGTCCACTGAACACCCCCTAGTCCTATGGACACTGTCCACATCCCTGTGGACACTGTCCACAGGGAGGGGTGCTATCACCACTACTATGGAACATAGTTCTAGACACCCTGGTTGACCAACTCAACAGCAACGGTTTCTACACAATAGCCTATGCAGACGATATTGCTGTCCTGCAAAGCGGTAAGTTTGAGAACACACTATGTGAGAGATCACAAGTTGCTCTTCGACTAATAAAAACATGGTGCAAGGAACACTCATTATCTATAAATCCTAAGAATGATCCTCTTTAGCAGGAAAAGAAGAATCACGGGCTTAATACCCCCAAGGATTCTAAACTAGTCTAAATTTTTCTGACGAGGTGAAGTACCTTGGTATTACCCTCGACAGGAAGTTAACACGGAACTCACACTTAGATGGTAGAGCTAAAATAGCATATATTGCCTATGAACAGTGTCGACGTACGGTCGGACGCACCTGGGGCCTCACGCCCAGGGTGATCGCCTGGGTCTACACCGCTGTCATTAGGCCAATGCTAACTTACGGAACTATTGCTTGGGTACCAAAAGTGCTACAGGCAACAGCGATTAACAAACTAAACCATATTCAGCGGATGGCTTGCATAAATATAACAGGTGTCATGAAAACAACACCAACTGCTGCAATGGAGTTAATCATTGGCATCACGCCTCTAGATATATATGTCAAAGAGGTGGCTCTAGTGACAATGATGCGACTGCGCTCAGCTGGTGCAAACCTTGATGTAGGAATGGGACAATTGAGAACTCGTTTCTGGCGGGGAGAGCTGGATGCGTTACCAGTACTTCAGGCAGGTTGCGACTGAATTGTACCAAAGTTCGTGTTTAACAAACCCTACATAATTGAAACAAGACAGTCTATGGAGACAAACGTGGCAAATGCCTATTGCATATACACCGATGGCTCCAAAATGAAAGAAGGCTTAGGATGCGGTATATACTCCAGATCACTGAACCTAAGAATTAAGTGGGGTATGGGCAAAAATGCCAGCGTAGTTCAGACAGAACTGACTGGTATCTCCATAGCCGCAAAAGAGATAACCCAAAAAGGTATAGCAGAGAAAACTATAATGATCTGCACAGATAGCAGACAAGCTACGAGAGGGAAGAGTGGGATAAAGGGGTACCCATAAAAGCTGCTGGTACATGGACGGCTCAAAAATATCGGAGGGTGTTGTAGCCGGCATCGTAGGGACAAATCAACGGATACATTTCCTGGTAAGTCTATCTAAGGATGTGACAGTTTTTCAAGCGGAAATAACTGCAATCCATCACTGTGTGAAAGAAATAGAAAGGCAGGAAAGAACGTTCTGTTCAGTTGCTATCTTCACAGATAGTCAGGCAGCGCTTAAGGCACTCAATTCTGTAGAGGTCAATTCTAAGCTAGTATGGGATTGCGTGTGTGCCCTAAATAAACTAGGAGACCGTAGCAAGGTTACGGTAGCCTGGGTACCGGGGCACGAGGGTCATAAGGGCAATGAAAAAGCAGATGAAATGGCCAAACAAGGCTTATCAATGCCATTCATTGGACCGGAACCCTTCTGCGGCGTTGCAAAGTCAGTAACAAGAACGGGTACAAAGGAGTGGGTAGCTCACAAATCTCTGGAATGGTGGAAGAATTCACCAGGACAAAGACAGCCGAAACAGTTCATTAGAGAACATTCGCCAAAATTTACGGCAGACCTAATTAGCAAAGATAGGAAAACAGTCAAAGCCATAGTAGGTCTTCTAACAGGGCACTGTAAGCTGAATAAGCACTTGAAGCTAATGGGATTATCAGATGATGACCTGTGCAGATTCTGTCACCTCGAAGAAGAAACGGCAGAGCACATTTTGTCAGTGTGACAGTCTGGCAAATGTGGGGTTTTTTGCATTAGGAGAAGAAAATTCACCGGCAAACAGCTACATGGAAGGTACAGTCTCGAAGCTACTAGACTTTATAAAGAGGGTCAA